ATGTACCCTTTGTTCGCATCTTTAGAGACGCTTGTGACATCAATCTCACGATCCGGCCACTCAAACTTTGCCGTGGGTCAACTCTGGCTCATGGCCCAGTCATGCAGATTGTTAGCGTCAAGATAGAGTGAATGGTTGGCTGGTTTACTCGATTAATAGCCTTTCACGTATTTATTGTTGGCTTTAGCATATCGTTTAGCAGCCACTGAAATTCCACCTGGCATGCCTTTCTCAATAAACAGGTGCTTATCATAATGCGTCAACAGTACTAAGGTCACATCAGCCTTTTTTAACAAGGCATCCCAAGAGAGATCGGGGCTGGTGTAGTACAACGCCGAGTCTAGGCCGTACTGTTTCAAACAGGTCTTTCTGAAGATTTCGAATACATCGGAGAGCAGGTGTACATCTGATTTCAAGTAGAGATTGTGGTAGTTTCTACCACACCTGGAGAGCGTGGTCGTAATCATCCTGCGACACGTTCGAATCGGCCAAGCTGCTGTAGAAGGACTGGATGGGAGGCAATCGTGTTTCGTCGAACCTGGGCCAATCGTCCATGTATTCGTTGGGATAGATGCCCTTCCTCAGCAATAAAGATCGAGTAATAAAGTTTCCCTGATTGTTTTATCTTCGTGTTTCAGCCACGTCGTGGCCTCGATAGATCACGGGAGCCTTCGTTTTCCCACTGTATCGGACGACCACGTATAAAACCCACAAGCTTAGTAGGTTTGCGTTTTGTACGTGAAACTTTGTTCGGTCTCGGCAGGTGTGACGTACTCAACCTGTTTGATGAAAGCCTCGAAATCGGTGTATATGACGTAGGGCACAGGCATTCGAAGTTTTCGATTGATAAATGTGAAACTATTTTTATTTTGACGGGGCATCTTGACCCTCATCGCATTCTGTCCAAGCCCTCAGCAGTCCTCTCTATGCACTTCTAACAGATCTGAGCGACTCTAGACGTGTAGACATCGTTGGCAGAAGTGGGTTTTCTCTTTATGCCTTTTAGAATCGGCTGGAAACGTGTGTGCTCTCACCACCATTCTTAAACAGTTACCCCTTGGTTTTTATATTCTTGAAATAGGGAGGTAAGTCAATGTACGATCCGCTTTTGAATGGTTTGTTCGCTATATCCAAATAAACTGTATCAATGCTCCCCACCCAGTACCCCTGTACGTCCATCGTTCCAAAGATTCTTGTACTTTTTGTAACAACACACTGGTGGTCGAATCTATCGTGAGTTGGTATTTGACACTTTTCAAATCGTCGATCTTGCTAACTATAAGGGGTTTAACGCTGTAGACATCGAAATTAGTCTGGAGGGTCATCCACCAGCTGCTAGAGCAATGTTTATGCTAAGGAAGGTTTGGTCAATTTATATAGCTTTTTTATCGCCTAAAAAAATGAATAATGATAGAAAAATTAAGGCCTATTGCTGTAAACGGATAACTGCTCGGAGTATTGATTTTTTTTCAAAAATAGCATCTAAATGATCACTGATAGCAATTTTTCATGAAATCACTAATGATAATTCTGAAACGTTGTGGATGAACCTAGAATCTGTTGGGATGTTTTCGAAAATACACTAACACGAACGTCGAAGTTAGATAGTGTATACAAAATCACGTTTCGTGAAGGCCTACTACATCACGAATATTAGATATTCAGCTGCGACAAATGCATCACTGAATTCGTCATACATTTTAGAATCAATTTACAACTGGTCTTTGTCACCAATATCAAGTGTCTAGATGAACTCAAACGAACGATTTTGGGTGTGAAAACGAATGCTTTACTCGAAAGACAGCACCTGTTTGGAATGTAAAGAAAGAAAAATTCAGACTTTACTCCAATTTTCAGACACCCATTCGCCTATTCGTAACATACATAGATTCAATAAGTGCATGGAAATGGCATCGTAGTAAGAAATAGCAAATTAAAAAAAAGATACAATACAGTAATGTGGTTTGTTTATACAGTACGAAATTGTCACAGTTTCTGTTCAGGGTGATGCTATGATTGACACAAAATCACGGAGAACGACAACGGTAATGATCGGTATTTCATGGCTTCTTCTCTTACTTACAATGAAAATGATAAAACATTTAGCAATACACTGATAATCAGAATCATTCTAATTAATTACATTACATATTTATGTACAAATGATCCCTGAATAAAGGTTAACAGAGTTTTGAACAACAAGATAACCCCATGTTACTAGTTAACAGTCGGTAAACTGTACTTAATGACTGGTTAAAAAGATAACCGAGTTCTGAACAAGCGGACCCAGACCATCGTACTACTGCGCCCCCGCCGGCACTACGTACGTATATATAGAAGGTGGGAAAGGGAAATCAACATTAACTAATTGAAGGACAGCACAGCTGTCCCATGTATATTTAATTCTAGAAAATATATCTTGAACCGATCTCTAACACATACAGCGACACCACCGGAATATCAATCACGGTTGTGGCGACATTTTGCTTCCTTGCAAAGCAGAAATAATTAGGCAAGTTAGTACTATAGTTTCTATAAAGCTTATCCCCTTTGATCATGAAATATCAGATTTGATCTACGTGACTGTGCCTCGATGCTGTCAGTTTAAATTTTTAAAATCAAACAGTTTTTCTTTCAAATCCTCATTTCTGCCTTAAGGCCACTAATTTATCATAAATGTCTTTAGAAAATGTATCAAACTTTAAGTTCACAGAAGTTATCTCATCCTGAATTGTTTTCAACGTCTTTTCACAATGGCAGCCATACTAATCAGATCGGACTGTGCCTATTCACTCCCACCCGGTATACATTCGCCCGTCACGTTTTTTGTTGATAATCTTGTTTGCACTCCGCTCTTCATGGAGTCACTATCATAGTACCGACCACCTGTTCTGGGTCCACTATTGGTTTCAACGTCACCCGACAAGACAATAAGCATAAAAGTGTACACAAACAATTGCGCATCTATCTTGATACTCGGCGTTAGCGTTATACCTAGTGCCCTCCAGCCACGTTTTGTTCAATCTCAGACGAAACGTTCCTATTTTGGCCCTCCAAATATCAGTTGAAACTCCCATGGTACGCACGCATATATCAGCCACGTCCTGACACCAAATACTAGGCAGTATGCAATTTCTTGACTTATGTCAAATATTTCTTGGACGCCTCACACACAGCTGTCAACACTGCTGGTCACGTGACGGATATCCCCCGACGGATTGACAGTGTTTTTTTGTTTTTTTAATTTATGTGATTACTTAAGGATCGTATGGCAGAATCTTGAAATACGACCATAGTCATCAGCACTACAAAACGAGTATTTTTTAGATTTGCATTTATTTATTGAGGGCCTAAGGAACCGTATAATATAATAAATTGGGGTTTGGATAAATTCCTTGAAACATTGGGGGTATTGCGAGACTTTTGTCCATGGGCATATATCAAACTTTTGTAATGAGGCAGTGTTATACTTGTGCAGTAAAACCTTTTATTACCAACGTGGTCAACGTATGGGTAGTTGCATACTAATCTCGTACCTCACACGAGTGTCGTATCATGTTGACCTGTGTCGTAACGACTTGACCTGAGATTCTAACGATTTGATTGGATAACCGATGACTTCTCAATTAGGTCACATTCTGACGTAACTATTGTTTCATTCATAGCAAACACCGTGAATTCATTCGTATATGTATTGTGGGACTGTAAACATTGCGAACGTTGCCGTGTCGCTGTTTAATTTTGAGTCGAACTGAAACATTATATCCGTCGAAAAACATAAACGCAATGTTTCCACCAGTGATGTTAGCCGAGTGAAGCAACTGCAAACCAAGAAACGGTGTGCCACGGAGTAATTTACTGTAGGTGTGAGTGAGTTTTAGTTTTACACCGCACTCAGCACTATTCCAGCTATATAAATAATCGAGTCTGGACCAGACAATCCAGTGATCAACAGCATGAGCATCAATATGCGCAACTGGGAACCGATGACATGTGTCAACCAAGTCAGCAAGCCTGACCACCCGATCCCGTTAGTCGCCTCTTACGACAAGCATAGTCTCCTTTTGTGGCAAGCATGGGTTGCTGAAGACCTATTCTACCCTAGACCTTCACGGGTCTAACAGTAGGAGGCTGTACGAGGCGATCACAACTGACATGCGTCGTGACGTTGGTTACCAAGCCAAGCAGACAGACAAGAATGGCGTAATGACGTCAATACGGTATGACGTCATGCACAAAGGGTACTAGAGTACTATATTCTTCGACAACCTCTTTATGAAACCGGTTTCGGTTTGAAACCATAAAATAATAAAAACACGCTACTTTGTCAATTTAATGCATGTAAAACGTGGGTAATAGATAACATACCACACTCGCTTTCGCTCGGTCAGATACCATAGGAAGGACACTCGTTTTCTATAATTCGTATGTAATGAGACCTCGTGTAGTATTCTCTATTTATCATCCAAAACTGGCTCCCACAGTAGATATCACTTGAGTGAGATCAAGTGATATCTACAAGCGATATCTACATTGTAATCATCGCAACAATTGAATTGTCATAATGCTATTACACCATCAGTAATGGCCTCGCAATGCTTTGACATCGCTAAGAACACAGCTGACAATGCTATGACGTCACAAAGTTGATGACCTCAAAATGCTACGTCATAAAGGTGATGACGTCATAATGCTATGTCCTCACTGAGATCACTGCTCAAGGAGCCTAATGACAGTTTTGTGTTCAGATAAATTTATTCTTTTACTGATAACTGATTTGGGATGATAAAATATAATCTCACCCTCAAGTATTCTAATATCAAATATATCAACACTCACTGATTAAACACTGTAACTTATCAGTAGACACTTTGATGAGATTCTCTATGTGTCTGAATATTAAGTAAGGTATAGTGGTGTACTACCTTTAAACAGCGTTGGAATAGACTGGAACTCTCTAATCCAAGGAGGTTGCCTCCTCTGACGTCCTGACGACTTACCTTCATCAACTTCAGCTTGTGATGTTGAAGGTGTAGATGATGGTGCGTCTTGCAAGTGTCTGTCCCTTGAAGGCGGCTTGTGTTTGGTTTTCTTGAGCGGCATCTTCCTATTTAGAAATGTTATTATCATTGCTAAATTTTAGCCTGGGAATTGCAGATCCAGGAGCGGACCCAGGATTTTGGAGGATGGTGGGGGTGCACATAAGTGAAGTCCAAAGGTTAGGGGGAAAATAAATGCTCCCCAGGGAAACTTTTTTTGGGGAAAAGGGGTGGATGGGGTTGCGTTCTGTCATATAAAGGCCTTTAACACAGATGGTCGGGACCAGGATAATAGAGTGAGTTTATGCAGAGGCCGGTTATTCAATTGAACGAGCAATGTGTTGTACACTTGCTTGTGTGTCGCAGATTGTAGCCCCTGATATATCTGGAATATTGCTGAGTGTGGCGTAAAACTACACCCACAGATAGTAACAAATACTTCCCTGTCAGTAGGGGATAACTAGGTCAGGAGGTGTATATTAATATTTCTTCTTTGACGAATACGTTCAACCGTACACGAAACTACACGGGGTAAATTACAATGAACTTGACAATGTGTATGAATTTAACAGGTACCATACTCCACAAACACTTGTATTTGTGTCTCAAAAGCCTATTTACTTCACAAAGACATGCATTGCAACACTGCAAGCTATATCTATGGGTGGGTAGCCTGCAAATATGTTACACACTTATACGTATCAGTTTTGGATTAGATATGCTTCATTTGGTACTGAACAACATTGTAGGTGTTATAGAGGGTCTTAATGACATACCTGTCGTCTATACTCCTTGCACTTGTACCCACCAACACTTTCTGTGTCTGGTCTTTATGACATACCTGTCGTCTATGCTCCTTGCACTTGTACCCACCAACCTCTCCTGTGTCTGGTCTCTATGACCCGAGTAGTGACGTCACTGACAACCTGGTTCCCGGGTTACGCTGCCCTGGCGCGTCTCTTCAGCCACTGATAACACAACCTGAGTTTAATTTCTGTATTCAAAGGGACATAACTGGTGCTAGCTTTAGCGACTTGTTTCCTGGTTCATGGATCCAGGCCGCTTTAAAGTTAATTTCGGTTATATAACTACAGGTAAACAGTACGTGTAATTGTCAAGTACCTCCAAAATGACATGTAGCTATTCTGTCTACATAGATCCAATGGGGTACAAGGCTGTGAGTGAGTGAGCGAGTTACAATATATAGTCACATTGGCAATATTCAGCCATATATCGTGTCTTTCAAAGTTATAAATTCATAAAGTTATAAATTAAACTTCAAGAATGTTGAGAATCTGCTTAAGTCTTCAAAGAGGACTACATGCCTGTTGGACCTACTTCCTACCAAACTGCATTTGGATCATGTGGACATCTTGCCGCCGGCCATTACTAACATAATAAACACTAGCTTGTCTTCAGGTGTTTTTCCCGGATGTTCTCAAGAAGGCAGTTATCAGACCTCTTATAAAGCAGAATAACCAATCGAAATTCATTAAGCCATTACAGACCTGTATCTAATCTTACTTTTCTTTCAAAGGGAGAAGGCAGCACATGTAATATTGAGAGAACATCTGGTGAACAACAAACAGCTGGATAACTTTCAGTCTGCTTATCGGACCAACCACAGTACCGAGACAGCATTATTGCGGGTACTGAATGAACTGAGGACCAAGTTTGACAAGGGTCATATGGCGTCTCTGACATTATTGGATCTCTCACCGACGTTTGACACAGTGGATCATCAACAGCTTCATCAACAACGCTTTAAGGATGAGATGAACATTCTTGGTGTTCTTCTTGCCTGGATCCAATCCTATCTTGACAGCCGACGTCAGCATGCTATGATGGGAGACAAACAATCGTGCTGTGTCAACCTTACATGTGGAGTACCACAGGGATCGGTTCTCGGTCTGTTACTCTTTGTGATATATACAAATCAACTTGGTGGGATCATAAAACGGCATATTCTCGGTCATAAGTCCTGGATAGTTTTAAGTTTAACAAGTTGCTGAATCCCTTCAGAAAACAAGTGTATGTGCATCAGAGATAAAATCTTGGATGACATGTAGCAAACTGAAACCTAACGATGGAAAAACTGAGGCTTTGTTGGTGGGCTCTAAGCAACAGCTTCAGATGTCAAATGACAAGAATTTAAAACTTGTGATTGGTAACTCTGTTATAGACCATCAAGTTGACAATTTGTGCAAGACCGTTTTTTATAATCTCAGATGTATCAGTCAAAAACTCGTCATCTGATATCACTTGATGCAGCCATGACATTAGTGCAGTGTTTTGTACTCTCGAGGTAGGATTATGGGAACAGTTTGCTTCTAGGCATCAGTAAAGAATCTCTGGAGACTTCAAAAAGTCCAAAATGTAGCGACAAGAATCGTGACACGTGCCCGAAAGTAATCTCACATTACGTCGAAACTGAATTCATTACACTGGCTTCCGGTTGAGGCGAGAAAAGTTTTTAAAGTACTCTGTATCACATTCAAGAGTCTAAAAGGCATGTCACCAGAATATCTTTTTGAACTGTCAACCCCATACAAACCAACCAGACAACTGCAATCTGGAAGCAGATTCTTTTGAAAACTTCTTCTTATAGGCTGGCCTCTTATGGAAAGCGTTCCTTCAGTGGTTGTGCTCCATCAATGTGGAATGAACTGCCGCTAACCTTAAAACTGTCCCCATCTTTTGGTGCGTTCAAATCACATCTTAAAACGCATCTCCTTTCACTGCACTATTAACTCTAATATTATTATCTTTATTTTGTAGCGCTTTGAGCACCTACTTAGTGGTTGGATTTAGCGCAATATAAATTTCCCATTATTATTATTTTTACGGATTAAAGATGAAAATGCAGCAGAGAGGGTTCGGGTGATCCTTGCACAGTCAGGCTGGTAAGGCTCATCATCACCTCAGGGCCCTCGCCCCCTCTCTACACGCAGCTCAGACAGCGAATGGGGCTTCTCCCAGGAAACACTGCCTAGTCGAACTTACCATGAACTTTCCGGAGAATATGAAGGCTCCCCAAAACTGCAGCCTTCTGCATTACCCAGAGTGTCAGAAGAGCTGTGTTCACGGTGGAGAACCCGGGCACTCTCCTGACCTGCGCCAAGAGATCAGGAGGTACCAAACCAAGGGCACCGAGAACAATGGGGAGCCTGACGACAGTGTACTTTGGATGCAAGCGGGACATTTCAAAGGCAAGGTCTGCATATTTATCATGCTTTTCCTGAGTCTTGTCAATCACATTCCTGTCAAACGGGACAGAAAATTCAATGATTTAAATAAATTCATTTGCTTTATCAAAAAGGACAAGATCAGGTTTGTTGGCCGAAATTCTTCTGAGGCTGTATATGGGCCTATTCCAGAGAAGTTTGAAAGCATCATTTTCCATAACGCCCTGGACATGTTCAGAGTCGTACCATGGATGGACCTCGGAGTCAAAGCCACAAGCATGGCGGAGACGGTAGTAAAAGCAGCGAGCCATGCCATCATGTCTCTTAAGATATGCCGTTTGTGCCAAGGAAGGGCATCCACTGACAAGGTGTTGGACAGTCTCTGTAAATTCATTACACTGTCGGCATTTCATGTTAATATTTTCTTTAAGAATCACATTTTGGCGATTACGAGTGGGAAGTGACTGGTCCTGAGCAGCAGAAAGGAAGCCCTCAGTTTCACATTTAAGGCCAGCGGACTTCATCCAAGCGAAGGAGTCGGTGGGATTGCTATTCTGTTCCACACACTGCATGTACACGCGATGCAATGGCTTCTCAGAAAGCTTCTCCACAAAAGACCGACTCTGGGCAGACTTGGTGAAGAACTTCACCTGGTTTACTCCCATCACTGTACCGTGCAGCACTGCATCGCCATTAACAAAATCAACCTGAAATTTCAGATTCTGTCCAACAACCTTGGCACGCTTCAAATAGCTGTGGAATTCCTTGCCTTCATCATGAGTCTTCACATGCATCACCAGAGGATCATCCGATAAATAAATAAGTGCAAAAGTACACAATAAAATTCTATCTTGAAGAGCCTCCACATTAATCAAACCCCGACCTCCAGAATTGATTTGCATATATAAACGATTGAGAGAGGAACGAGGGTGGTGGGCTCTGTTATCAGACATGATGCTTCTGGTCAGACGGTCAAGACTCTGGATGTCTTGTTTTGTCCAGTCAACTATTCCAAAGGAATAGGAAAGGACTGGCACAGCAAAAGCATTGGTGGCTTTGACCTTGTTTCGAGCATTTATCTCTGTCTCGAACTTGCATTCCAAGAGAGGTGTAGGCCTGATCTTCCACAAGATGCTCAAGATGCCCCCTGTACCTTGACTGATCCAGCATGAGTTACCTTGCCACGTGTCAATGAAGAGCCCAAATGTCATGCCAATATCATTAGAAAAGGACTTGACAATGAGAACCTGCTTTTTCAAATTGGTTTCTCCTTTGGCAAGGAGCTCGATGTCACCCATGTAAAGGAGATGAGTAAGAGGTGTTGGGGATCTGTGCTGAAGAGGTCCGGGATGGTAACCATCCTCTCTATTGAGCAGAAAGCTTAAAGGATTTAGAGACAAACAAAAAAGTAATGGACTGAAGGAGTCCCCCTGGAAAATTCCCCTTCTGATTGGAATAGATTCCGAAGTCTGCACCTGCCCTTGCGAGTACATCTCAAGTTGAGTTAACTCATTAAAGGCTTGAGTAAATCAAGTAGTCGCTCCGGGAGGTCAATAAAATGTAGAGACTTCAAAATCCATTCGTGAGGGACAGAGTCGTATGCTTTTTAGTAGTCAATCAAGCACATTCAGAGGTTGCGGTGGTATGTTTTAGCCTCTCCCAAAATCATTTTTTTGTACAAGTTTATCCTTACAACCTCAACATGCCTTTCTCGGTCCCTTCTGCTCTCTGTAAATTATATCATTGGAAGAGCAGTAAGATGACACGAGACTTGTTAAACATCCTGTGAAGATTTTATACTTGTATTCAAACATGTGACAGGGCGGAAGATTTGGGGATCAGTCAAGTCTCCTGTTTTGGGAGGGAATATTGTGCGACGTTTGCAGAAGCATGGAGGAACATCACCTGTGTCAACAAGAGAACTCTAACAGTGTAGTAATGGTGTTTGGACACAGGGGAACAGTTTCCAGTACCGGTTTCGAATGCAATCTGGCCCTGGAGCTGTATTAGATTTGGACTTTTTTTGGTGACACTTTTCAGGCAATCTGGTGAGATGTAACAGACAAACGACCTAGTTACTTTCTCATGCATTGCACGCTCATAATCACGGACCCATGGTGCCTCCAGGTTACAGTCGCCGGGTACAGACCACAACTGCTTCCAGAACCTTTTTATTGGCATCCATTGGAGGCCGTTTATCATGCTCACCATCACCATTTGTTTTAAGTTGCCTATAGAAGTGTTTTTCATTATTTCTAAAAAGTTTATTTTGTTTGATGAATGTATTTTTGTTCCCCATTTTTTCTTTCTTTCAGTCCAAACCTTTATTTTGGCCTTCAGGGAATCGACAATTTGGAGAAGTATGTTTTCTTTCATTGTTTTGTATTTCAGTTCTAATTTTCTCCAAATTGCATTTTGTCGTTTACACATGGGATTCCGTGATGATCTTAACTTCAGGCAAAGCTCTATCCAAGAAATGTATTTTCTAGTTTCCGTCAGTTTTACTAGAAACCGTTTTTTCTTTGGTGTATTGTTTTTCGTATTAGATGATTTTTCTTTGGAAACTGTGGGAAGTTCCTCCAAGGTGCGAGCTGCAGCATAGACACAGCAATTACCTTCATGTAACGAACAGTCCACAGAAAGTTTCATAGAAATAATGTGATTTAATACATTACTTTCATTTTTGGGAAATGATCCAGTTGTTTGTTTGATTGGCCTCCGTTTT